AACCATTCAACGCCCTAGTTTCATTGCAAACAATTACCAAACAATTATATTTCATTTTATATTATATCATGAGAGTTTCTTAATCATTATGACCACTTAATCATTATGCACCAAACACAACAACTACCAAACAGCCCCTCAAATTTGGTTAAAACTATAGTCACCATTAATATTGTTATTAAATGGGAAATTGTAACCACAAGAGTGGTGTTCGATTGGTTTGAGTTTGGGCTCCAAAAGTCAAAAGTGGAGGTCCCATATTTGAATTCAATGAGAAATAAAAATCTTACTTGTGGCCATGGAGGTTCAAATGCGGTGACTCTGAGCTATCTGCAAAACGATGTTCGTCCTGAAATTAATCGGCTCGTTTAACGGGTTGGATATCCCAGGTTAATAAAAAAATGGAAAATTGTATCAAAATAAAAGTTAAGAGAAAATATTTTTTATTAATTACCTATTTTATGCATGTGTAAAAGATATTAATACAAGTTATTATTTTTATTTAATCAGAAGATATTTAGAAAGAAAAAAAGTGTAATATAAATATTAAAGAAAAGACAGCAAGGATTATATATTTTAAGCAGAAGATGCCACCATCAAAATCTTTGATACCTTCTTGTCATTGGATGCAAAAACATGATTAATTACTTCATTTATTTAAAAAATAATAAATTAAATAAAAATAAAAAATAAAATAAAAATAAAAGGTTTTTATTTTTTATTTTGGTATCGTCACTAGAAAACTGAGAGGTTAAAAATAGCATATCAGAGTATAAATTTGAGTTTTAATGGTTAAAAGTTGTGGAATACGAACACTTTAATTGCAAATTGGACCTGATTTCTTAGTGTTTTGTATTATATGTTGCAGCTATAATTAACTTTTATTTTATTTTATATTCATGATAATTATTTTATGTCACCATTAAAAGAATTACGTATTTGTGTTTGAGTATGACACGAGTTTTTGAATGTTTTCGTGAATGTAAACATATCAATGCCATTTTCCACATAACATAATCATTCATCATCGTATGCTTTATTGTAATCATGTAACAGTGATATCGTCAGCGTGTGCTCTGCTCATTAAACCTAACATGTTTTGAACCCTCGATTGGAACCGTCATTACGATAACTGCCTCGATTAAAATCCCTTTTCTTTTTTTCTTTTCAGCTTTTGCATAATCAAACATTTAGTAGCAGATTTAGGAATTTTAACGATGATAGCTGTAATTTATATTTATAAATTTTTTAAGGTAATATATATATATATATATATATATATGAATAATTAATAAAATTTATAATATAGAAAAGGAAAAATTGCAGTAAAATGGAACAAACTTTGGTCTGATTCCTATTTTGGAGAATAAACTTACAAAAATATCATTTTAGGGGTCTGAAACAAACTTTTTATTTATTTAAGGGTTTACTTTACTTGTTGACCTGATAATAGTGACATGGCTCGGGCGAAAAACAATTAAACATTTTTCTATTTATAATGTTATCTGGCGCTAGTTCTTTTGATTAATGTGTAACGAGATGATAAAAGTCGTGCGTACTTGTTATGATTCGAGCAAAAGTCGATTATAATATGAATCAAATTACAATTTTTACAAGTTGAGATGTCGGACCAATATTCATAGGTTCTCATGCAATCCAAAACTTAATAAAATTGAAGCAATAGACACCTATGACCTACAACAAATTCCTCGACAAGAACCAAAATTTGTGTCATCTTCGAGACAAGTGAATCAACTGTCTTCTTCTTTGAAGCATTTTCACAAACACCTTTCATTTCTTTATTTCAATTCCTTGTCTTTCTTTGGTCATTCCTGTGGAGGACAAGGACAACGAAAGAGACAATGGGGGAGGACGACGACGGAGGCGATGGCTAAGTACGACAGCGGCGGAGGAACTATGGTGGAAGATGAGGACGACGTAGGAGGAGGTGATGGCAGGACAACGATGGGGAAGGAGGCAATGGTGGAAGAGGATGACGACGGAGGAAGTCTGGTGATGCTGTAAATGAATGGATATTGTGCAAATTGGATTAATGGAGGGTGGAGGCAATGAGGAGGTAAGGATGAAGAAGTAGGTTTGTTTTTTTATTTGATTTTTAATAGTCCTTCTTATTTTTAAGTTTAAGGGCCGTTTATCAAATACTTATTCGGTAAGTGTTTATCGGTAGAATTTAACACTATTATTTATTTATCAGATAAGCTTTTAGTCCATCAAAATGACGTCATATGCAACAATTTATCTTGTAATTGGTTACCATAGTAAATGAAAAATGATTTTTTGAAAATCCATGAGAATCAATTGACCCAACTCTTATTGCACTTCTTCCAATCCAGAAATTTATTTTGGAAAATTCAAATGAATAATTAGTTGAGAAAATTAATCAAAGGTTATATAATATCATTGGGCCCAAGACTAAAGAATACAACTTGGAAAGATAATCAAGGTTACTGAGTTCATAAAAGTTATACTGAGAAGGGTAAGAAGTAATATTCATTTTTATATTAATCTTAATTGAAGAATTCTATTAGATCAATATTCATGAGAAACATCAGATCAATTCTTTTCTAAAGTGCAATTCATTGGTTGGTTTGAGATTAAAAGTGATCAAATGTTCAAATCTCTTATTACATTTCTCACATTAACTATTGTTCCCACATGATTTTTCGTCTACATTTAAAACCCTACTTAAGGGTTTCTTACTAAACTCTTACTTGGGTGTGCTTACCTGCAAAATTCAAGACTATCATTTACTTACTGGTAAGATTTTAGTCCATCAAAACGGTATCGTATGTAACAATTTACCCGATAAGCGCTAACCATGGTAAAAGTCATCACCCTCACTTAAGACTCTCGGTTCTTGCTTTTACTCTTAATGAGTAGGATTATTGGTCTTTTTCAAATTCATCCAGTAAGGTAATGTGACTTGCTAAATGCTTACCTCGATAAGTATTGGTAAACGGGCCCTTAGCCTCAATATCTTTTAAAAACCCTTTCCTATGGCTCAACACATGCATGACGGGATGGGACGGGACGTGACAACTATTTATTTTTGGTTTAATGGACTTATTTGTATGACTATATTGAAGTGTTTACTTGAAACTTAATAGAAAATAGATAGATTTATTTGGTTATCCGAGTAAGATTCTATTGTCCATATTCAGCGATAAATATTACCTCCTATTATCCGTGGTGAAACGCCAAATAGATGACACATGCTTCAAAACCTTGCCACTCTTGTTTTTCCTTCAACCCTCCCTCCCCGGTTCAATAAAAGCATGGTTAGAGTTTGGCAGGGTAAAAACTGATTTAGGACTGACAATCTGGACTAATATCGGTCTGGTCTGTCTGATCAGATATTTTTGATAATTAATTTAATACATTTATTAATGATTGTACAATTACAATTACATATTATTAATAAAATTATTAATAACCATGCAACTACAATTATTCGTTACGGCACAATTTATTTATTTTGCATTAAACGTTAGAAAATACAAATTTATAAATGAAATTATAAAATATATATTTAAATTAAATTACTAAAAAAAATTGAAATATACTTAATTACTTAAAGAGTTGGGCTTCGGTAAGATCAAAAGTTATGGTGAAAAAAGATAAAAAATGATCTTCACTCTTTTATCAATCTTAATTAAAGATCAACATTAATGAGATAGACCAAATCAATTATCGTATCAAACGCAATTCATGGGGGGTGTGAGATTAAAAGTGATCAATGGTCCATATCCCTTCTTACGTTTCATAGAACTTAAACTGATTTAAAACAGTGATCTAATCTAGTCCAGACGAACAACATCACAATCATCTGATTCAATTTGGTCCGGTCTAAACCAAAATGACTGGGCTTTTTGTCTCCACAATTGCTCCTTCTTGAACGATGGTTGGAAGAGTGGGCATGGGCTCCTCCTCAAAAATCTTATTCTTTTAAATAGGTTCGACTTGCATTACTGGGCTCCCTCTCTATCACTTGTAGTCTTCATGATTACTAACTTTCTCTGCCGCCTCCCACCTCGCTGTCTGACCGCCTAATGTCATTCCCCCTATCCTATCGAATCTCCGCCTCTATTGCTCAGGTTAGGTCGTTAGGGTTTCCGAATTTGAATCTTCAACTTCTTGAATCTCAGGTAATTGTTTGAACTTATTTGATTAGTCGAATTAGCTAATTGTTATTCCCTTGCTTCTTGATGTTTGTTTCCTGATTTTGAAAATATATGGGCAACTGCCTCCTGATTTTGAGAATTATTTGGGTAATTTGTTTCCTGAATATGTAGTAATTGTTACTCTTCTGCTTCCACAGGGACGAACCTATAGGATGGGGGGTGGGATTCCGTGCACTTGCTTAATCTAAATCTGTAAGGAATTTTTTGGATACAAAAAGTGCATTGGCTAAAAGTTGAGGGGTTTTCCAAGAAATAAAAGAAGTAAAGGTGCACCAAACTTAAAGAATAAAGATCCGATTTGTGTTTTGAGTAAATTATGATTTTCATCTCTATGGTTTGTTAATAATTTCTATTTCTGTCCTTATGGTTTAGAAATTTTGATTTCCATCTCTATGATTTGGAGCTTATTGCTATTTCCATCCCTGGATTAAATTTCTATCTTTAAGTACAAGAGATCAAAATAGTAAAGGTTTGTAAACCATAAAGATCGAAACGACAATAAATTATAAATAATAGAGACAAAAATAACAATGAATTATAAATACCAAAGATGAAAACACAAATTCTCAACCCCATGAATGAAAATTGCAATTTGTGACAAACCATAGAGGCAATTTACAGTTATGTTTTTTTTTACCCGAAGGGACCATTTTGTAAAATGTGCACTAAGTAAACAAAAGCACAAATATGGAGGACCAATCTGTCTGTAACTTTTAATCTTCCTTAAAACATCAACAGCAAATGAGAGGGGTTAAAACAATTTTTTTCAGAAAACTCCGGCATCACCCTCTGCCTAACCGCTTAGGCGCTTACCGCCCCTCATCGCCGTCCGCCGGCTCCAGCCAGTTCTCTCAGACTCAGACTCAGACTCAGACTCAGACTCACACTCATTCAGTCACTATCTCATTCAGGTTTTGTCTCAAAACCTAACTCAAATTTATATTTTACCTAAATTTGATATTAGTCATTTGTCCTCGATTGATTAGTTATAATGCTATACAATTATGTCTACATGATTTACTTGTTTGGTTTGAGTTTTCACTTATATTTTTGGCCTTAATTTGATATTAGTCTTCTGACCTAAATCTGATTCATTTTTTTTGTTGCTTCCTATGCCTTGTTTATTATTGCAAATTGTTTGATTGTTTATATGTTACATTGCTTGTTGCTTACATCCATTACTCTAGCCCCTAACTCAGATTTGCTCGAAATTTTAGATTTGCCTTGTATCTGTTAATTTGATGTTAAATTTCTTAGCTTATTTTTAATTTTTTCAACCCTGGTTGTTGTCTTGTTGATGCTAATTTGTTTTAATCAATCCAGAGTTCTTTTAATCTGGTTAGTTAATTTTAATTTGCAAAGCATCGTATTTAGTACTAAAATCCTAGAGACATCAAGGAAACAAAGTGAGAAACCTAGGAAAAAAAGGACAACGACAATCAAATCCTAAAAGTTGAGAAATTTTATGAAATCAACCCAAAAAAACCGAAGAAGTCCCTCTAAATCAACCAAAAAGCTTACAAAAATCCCTCGAAATCAACTAAAAAAGTAAAAGTCTCGAAATGGTGGAATTCGGCTAAAAAAACACATCGAGCAACTTTGGGGGCATTTGATCCAATTTAAGGGTGCATCTGCTGAGCAAAAACCCTTACAAGATTACCCCAAGGACGCCTTCGGCATCCAGGGGCAACGGACCGACCATATAACCCTGTTCAATAAGTGGAATGCATTAGCTGTCCCTGTCAGGTTGGGCAGTAAGGGTCGGAGAAGGGAAAATTTGATTTGGTTAGACAATTTGTCGTTGGTAAACAAGGATACTAATGATATGACCTCAAAATAACAGGGGTCTAGGTTTCTCAATATGCTTCAAATTAAATTTAGAACTCCTATCTACTGGCACATAGAAAATGAGCCTCTAATTAGTTTAACACATTGTTGCTGATTAGCTTCTTTATGAACTGAGTTTCCTTTATTAGGAACATAGAAAATGACAGATGGGTTACTATCCTTGCATTATTTCAGATTTTATTCACTGAAATTATTGGCTGATTTTAGCTCTCTTTTACCCATATAGTGTCATCACTGAGAGTTTTCTACAGCAGAGGCTTTCTTAGTGAAAGAAGTTATATTCATGAATGGATTAAGGGAAAGATTCTCAGTGGTTGTTTAACAAGCGCTTAATGGCAAGAATTACCACCTTCACTTACCTTATCGGTTAATATCTTCGGCCATTATAATATATTGTTGATACGCGTCTCTTACCCGGTAAGCCTTAACCAGGTAAGAACCTGTTTGTTAGCAGCTTAATGTGCTTAATGGGACTCTCAACTTATTCGGTCAACTATACATGAGTGTTTGGTAGTGGCTTAATGATATAAGTGGCTTATTCAGTAAGCTTCTAGCCTCTAGAGGGAGCTTTATGCAGAAAGCCAAATATTTTTCGAACATGTCCCTCCCAATTAAAAAGCACACCACTTTCATCTATGAAAAAACTCTTCCAATCAAAAACCTTCCCAATTTATACAGACAAAATAAATCTACACAGACAATTTTATCCGTGCAAGACTTAATGGAAAACTAACCAAACAGCCCCTAAGTGTCTTCTCCCTCATTTACTTTGTAAAATTCTCGGCCATTGCTATGCCTCTTAGCAGGTAAGATTCGGTCCTTGCCATGCTCACCAAGTAAGCTAAGCGACACCCAGTAAGCATTTGGTAAACAACTTCTTAGTTTCTTTATCCCGATCAACTATGTACGCAATAATTGCCCACAACTTATTGATTATACTATCGTAACAAAAGGAGAGATTTGTTTTTGTATAATTTTTGGATATTTCAACTATGTTTGTCCTATCTAAAGGCGTTACAATGACTTGTTAGGAAGAATTTACACAGTCTGTCTAACAAGTACTAGCTACAAAGTTGAGAAACCTAATATGACGCAAAAAGTAAATCGTCTTATTAACATTAGTGTCATATAAAAATGCTAATAAAAAGATTTACTTTTTGCCAAGCTTCATTGATAGAACTTGTTAGGTCTCTTAGAGTCTTAACAACTTATTATAACACCTTTAGATAGGACGCACAATTCATGGAGACCAGATACATATTCAATATCTTTTTTATGTATTCTTTAGTTTATCTATCGGGTTTGTGTAAAATGTTTATTAATTATATAAATCAAATGAGTGCTTGGCTTTTTTATCTGCAAACAATGATTCTTGAGAGATTGACAACAAATAATGTTAACTTGAAGTCAAGGTTTTAAGAAGATGGAATAACATATATACCAGTATATATATAGAGGGAGGCAGAAATATATTTATACCAATCTGCATTCTGTTGTTTATACACAGAAAATATATGCAATATATACACACACACACACACACTTGAGTACTAGACACGATATACACACACACTTGGGTACTAGACACAATATATATACACACTTGAGTACTAGACACAATATATATATATATATATATATCATACTAAATTACTAAAAGAATGTACAACACTTGTTTCAATCACGAAATATAGATATAGTAACAAAATAAAAAATATTCGTTTATTAATAATATATATATATATATATGTATGTATGTATATATTAATATGGTCAAGCTCATAAAAGAATATTATAATATAAGTGAGAGTAGAAGTGTGATTGCGACCATGATATATAGTAGAGACTAAATATAAAAGAAGTGTATCCAATATATACATATACATATAATCTGGTGAATTAGAGAAGAATTGAAGAAGAAAACGCAAAGAAACAGGAAAAAACTGGAACTCACAAAGGACAACAGATGAGTAGCAAATAGGGCTTAGGAGAACTAGAGAAGAACAAGGTTTTCAAAAAATAAATTGAGAAGGTTTCAGTCATCCTTTTAAATAATTTAGCCTCTGTAGTGAGGCGTATGCCACTCCACTGCCTCACACCTCACGGCATTGGTCACTGCCTCAAACAACCAAGCGTACATCTCAACTGAGGACTGAGAGGTGCTGCCTCAGGTGCGATTTTGGACTGCCTTGCCTGAAGGCGTACGCCTCACATTTGTTTATAACCATGCCTGAAATAATAATAACAAAGGAAAAAATCTTAATTGATTGGATGCGTGCTTAGTTGGAACCGAGCAATTAATTGTGAAAAACCGCATGGTTCATCAGATAGCGTTTGGATATGTTTATTGTGCTTAATGTTGTAATAGTTATTTCATAACGTTGATAAACTATGATTATTTAAGAGGATAATAGATAAGATAAAGGAGTATAAACAATTTCATCTTATTTGATAATCAGTTTTTTTACAACTTGTATCAAACTTCTAAATAATAAGTTAATCATCACAAACACAATAAACTAATTAAGCCAAAAATGCATCCAAAAGTTACGAAGTTTGATTTAGTTCACCACTTCATATTTAACGTAATGATGAAAATCTTTTCTTAATGATGAAAATCTTTTCTCAGTTAATGTAACAAACGCTCAAATATTCTTTTGTTTAAACATTTTGACTGGTAGTGGTAAATTTTTATAACCATTGATGACGTAAATGTTAAGCTGTCAAGTTATATTGTAATTCTTGTTTACATAAAAATTCTCCAGGAACAGGCCACATCAAATCCATCTATATTACGTAGCTGAAAACTCGTTTATTAAGTAAATTGAGTACAAAATATGAAATTTTGAACATTTGTTTCACTAACTAAAAAATAAAACATTTTGCCTTTTCTGAACCTAATTTAATCTACAAACAGGAACAGAGAGAAAACAAGTAGAAAATCCTTGCAAGGGTTAAACCAGACCACCAAAATGGGGGGAGCAGGGAAGATACTGAAGAAGGGATTGGGAGAGATGGGTCTCAACAGTGGTGGTGGCAACATCAACTGGTTTCCCGGTCATATGGCGGCTGCCACCCGTGCCATTAATGCTCGTCTCAAGCTCGCCGACCTCGTCATTGAAGTGCGCGATTCTCGTGTATGCGCTCTTTTATTTCCACAAAATCTATCTCTTGTTTTTGAAAATTTTGTATTTTAATTGTGAAAAGCGTAAGCAGATTCCATTGTCGTCTGCAAATCAAGATCTTCAGCCTCGTCTATCCACCAAACTGCGTGTAATTGCTCTCAACAAGAAAGATTTAGCTAATCCCAATATCATGCATGTATGTATCAAATCTCTGTTTCTTAATTTCTTCTTCATATGTTTTATTCTTCCTTCGTTTATGTAACTGTGTTAGTGCTAAAAGTTCTATCAAGTTAGTCATTCACTCTAAATAAATAAATAAGAATCGTACTTTAACCATTTTTCCTCAATGTGGACTCTACTTGAGGAAACCCCCCTCTGATCCCAAAAAAGCTGCATTACATTTTGGTTTTTGATGTGAATCCTTTTTCTTTGGAAAAATTGAGTTTCTATTGATAATGGATCCAGAAAGGATCCAGTTGAGATTACAATTTTGAGGATGCGAGATGACATCCCAAACCTAAATTGGCATTTGTCAACGACTTGATAAACAGTACTGATCGTAACCAAATGTGCTTGAAGCTTCTGTAATATAAACTTGCAAGTTGAGCATTTTAGAACTTTAAACTAAGATTGAAACATGCAAATGAAACAACCCTCATCTTCTAATCTGCCAAAGACCCAAACCAAAGATAAACCAAACCAAACTAACCAAATATATGCCACTCGAAGGTGGGGCCTGCAGACGGTGAGATGTACACAGACTTGACCTCTGCTGCAAAGAGTAGAGTGGTTGTTTCTGTGATGACCCCTGGCTTTTGGAGAAGGTTCAAACCCAAATTTGCAATTGAATCACGGGCTAGAACTAAATAGTAACAGCCTTGGAGACCAACTGAAATAACTGATGCAGCTGGCAACTTCATCACATCTCATTACAGTACATAAGGCTATGTTTTTAAGCTAAGGCAGTATATATTTATGTCAATTAGGAATAATCTCTTGTTTGGTTTTTTTGTTTTGTAAGAAATGGGTTGATTATTTCGGTTCCTGTAAGCAAGATTGTCTACCCATCAATGCACACAGCAGGAGCTCTGTTCAGAAGGTTTGTTTATTCTCTTTTAACGACATTAATGTTATCAAATTAAGCATAATGATGTAGTTCCAGATAACATTTCCGTAGAGTTTATCAAGTTTCTCAAATATAATTGGATTGAATTGTGTGTTTGCGGCCATTGCAAACTTTCTGTTACGATCATATAATGTTTTCCCTTTGTGCAAACTGTACCGAAGTTTGTGATTTTGTTCCTCTTTTTAACATTTTATGTTTGCTTTTGGGTTGCACTTATAATTATTTTTGTTGTCAAATTTAGCCTACCTAGACTAGTTTGAGACAATAGGCTTGCTGTTCTTGTTGTTAAGGTTTGGGAGCCAAGCATAATGGAATGTAGTAAGAGTCATGTTCACCATATTCATAGGTTGGCTCTTGAAAAATGATACTCTAAACAGCGAAGATTAAGTTTTGAATGAAATGTGCCTATAGTTCTTATCATTACAACAAACCAATGCTAGCATGCTTGACATGATTATGAAACATTAGTTTCTCATTAATGTTATAGTTTCTTATATTGAGTTTTGAATAAAATGCTTATAGTTCTTATCAAATGTTTGGCAAAAGTAGGAGCTCAGATATTTTGTACAGAATTGTAAAGCCGGTAAACCGAGTTTCAAGTTGCAACCGGTATATTCGGCCCAATAGTTTGTTCTAGTTGTATAAAAAAAGCAGTTCTTGGTCTGGTTTGGTTCAAGTTGGAATTTTTAATACTTAAATGAAATGACGTTTATTTAAGGAAAAACAAGCCCAAAATTCAATTCCAGTTCTTTGTCTGGTTTGGAACTAAACCGGTACCAATCGGTATCATATGCGATGGCTTAGGTTGGGTTGACTTGCCAACACTCTTTTGTTCGTATTTTATGAATTTGATAAATAATTGATGTATGTATGATTAGAAAAACTGTAGAAATTACAATCTTATATCTTAAAATAAAACAATTTAGGAAGTTCTGAGCATTTCAATTAGGGTGTTCATCGGTTGAAATCCGATGGATTTAGGTGGATCCAATCCGATCCAATCATCCATTGGATGTTGGATCTTGTCATCCGATCCAATCCAACTAACATTGGACATCCGATCCAATCCAATCCAATGGATGATTGGATCGGTTCTGTGTCATCCATTGGATATTAGTATTGGTTATCCGTTGGATTGGATTGGATTCATCAAATATTTTTATATAATTTTTGATCAATTGTTCATATATTTTCTAAAGTTGTTAAAAAACAATGCATATACATATCAATTAAAAAAAAATCGTAAAATGCTAATAATTATATATAGTTATTAATTGGACGGTAGTTGGATGTTAATTGGATAGTCATTGGATTGGATCGGTTTTATTGGATGATGGACTGTCATCCAAGAACCTACCCATCCAATTTGGATGTTGAAATTTTGGATCCGATCCGATCCAATTAAAATTGGATATCCGATTATGGTCAGCCAGTTATCGGTCGGTTTAAATCGGATCAGATGACTTTTTGCACACCCCTAATTTTTTTTTGATTAACCTAGATATCCAACCCGCTATGCGAGGCGACTAATCCCAGGGCGATCACCTGCTTTGTAGATAGCCCGGAGTCACCGCATTTGAACCTCCGTGGCCACAAGGGGATTTTTATTCCTCCTTGGATTTGAACCTGGGATCTCCTGGTACTTTTGACCTTTGGAGCCAAGCTCAAACCAATCAGGCACCACCCTTGTGGTTCACACCCCTAATTTCACTACACTTTGAGTGGCTTTCGAACCCATTTGACTTGTTTAAGTTTTTAGAGAAGTTTTTAAATTGAACCCATTTGACCCGTTACAATTTAATATAACTCAAATCGACTCATTTTGAAGCAAATTGGTTGAAATTATCACTTTTAATATTTTTGATTGCGAGACATTGGTCAGTTACTCTTTCTTGCTTGGTAATGAAGACATGTATCTGATTACAATTGGTATCATTTATCCAACGGTATATAAAGATAATTAACCAAATTAGATGATGTTGTCGGCTTGTTACATTTGCTAGATAGTTTTAAATTTAACTTCTGCTTTACAGTGGTCTAACTTGTGTTTTAATTAAAAATTAGCTTCTAGAACTTGTCGAGCTGAAACTGAAGGAAAAGATCGCAAAAGAACCTACTCTGATCGTCATGGTGGTAGGTGTGCCTAATGTTGGGAAGTCTGCTTTGATCAACTGCATTCATCAAGTTGCATCATCTCGTTTTCCAGGTAATCTCTTTATATAGTTTTTCTTGTTAGATTTCCCCCCTCCCATAAAAACCAAAATCTGCTGTGTAACCAAACCAAACCAAATGATCCCAATATATTCCGCCCGAGAGCAGGGTTTGGGGGTGGGATGTACACATACCTGACCTCTACCCCAAAGGATACGGCGGCTGTTATAGTAACCCCCCTCCCCACCGGCGTGCGGTTTGTGCAACAGTGTTAGCAAAATGGAAAGAAGGAAAGAAGAATAAAGAAAGAAGAGCAGCAAATGGAGAAGGCATAATGAAACTTATAGAAACTAAGGAGAACACAAAATCTGCTGTGTTTATTTGTTGATAGTTTGTAAGCATTCCGTCTCTGCCAATAACTATTTTAGATTTTTCTTAGCACAGGAGAAGAAGAAGCGAGCAAAAGTAGGACCATTGCCTGGTGTAACTCAGGATATTGCAGGGTTCAAGGTCAAGTTTTCCAAATATAAGACTGGATAATTTATGAATATGGCACGGTGCATCCTTTTCCATGTTCATGAAAATCTTCTTAAGCGAGATTTTGTACCAACCTTGTTTATTCTTTCAAAAAATAGCACATGATATGTGAAAAAAGTTGATCAATAAAAGATGTATCTTACCCATTTAACAGAAAATATATAAGTGAATTGCATATATGCAAAAATAGGATTTTAACTTTGTTTCTTATCATATGCAGATTGCACTACGACCTAGCATATATGTATTGGATACCCCAGGAGTACTGGTCCCAACCATTCCAGACATCGAAACGGGATTGAAATTAGCTCTGACAGGTTTGGGTTTGTTATAAATCTTGTACGTTTTCAACTAGATTGTTATTCGCTGCCGGAAAAAGAAAAGAGTAGAAAAACAGTCTGTTTGAACTTTGAACCCTCCTCATCAACAATATCCAGGTTGTTGGTCAACTGAGTTCTTTCTTTTTGGTAACCATGAGTGTTTTGGCCAACTTCGTGCACCTCGACTAATACCCAGTGGCCCTGGAAATAACTGCCATGAAAATCCCCAGTGGCCCTTAGTAGACTCGAACTGGTGACCTATGGGGAGGAACCCCAAGGCCTAGCTTTTATTTGCGAGTTGAGCACTCAACTGAGAAATTAAAGAACACATGGAGGGAATAGAGTCAGTCATCTTTTACTTTTTTTCCCTGTAGGTAGTTTCTTGGAATTTTTGAAGGTTAGATTGAAGTTATAATGGAAAAGGAGGGTAAAAGAAGCTAACATTGCATGAAAGTCAACTTAAATTCCCTTTTCTTTCATAGCTAGCTAGGTGTATTTGAGCCAACTAGAGCCTGAACTTGTCATCTTCAAGATCAACCTGTGAAAGTTTTGATAGACTTGGGATTGGCTAGTGGCTCACTGAACTCTGAAAACCCAGGTTCGCACTGGGATCACAAAAAGCTTTGCATGGGCTTTGTTCCTATATGCATAATACAATCTCAAGTGAGCTCGCGTAAAGATGAAGCTGAACCCTTCAAATAAAATTACAGTGTACCCTCTTCCAAAATTACGATTAACCCCAATGAGCCTAAGACTAGTGGGTTAAAAGTATATTAAACTAAGTGGGTCATATATTGTTATGACTTAGGAATTTAGTGGAATAAACAAATCAAAACAGAAGAAAAAATAAGTTGGCAAGCTGCAGTGATTCGATTAAAAGAAAACCACTCTAGCAATTCGAGAGGCTAGACTCTCCATACAAAGGATTTATTTTCTGCATATCCATTCCCTATAACCCCCTTATTAATAGTTTATCATCAAAATGGAAACTAAATAATACCCAAAATTACCTCACCACAGACGACTATCAAAATAGAGATGCCATTCTTTCTTATTCTTTTGTGGACCGTTTTTAGTTGGCTGGTTTGAACGTCCCTTCCGACTATACATGAATCAAACTGGTGGTCGTATAACATTATTCTGCTCCCAAAGAGCGACCATATTCTCGAGGTGAAAATCAGGGAAAATCTGCTGCATAGTTACAAAATCTTCCCAGGTTGCTTCAAACTCAGGTAAATCTTTCCATTTAAGCAGAACTTTCACTTTGTACCCTTCATATGCCCCCACTAAACGAACCCCCAAGGCAACCTCTGGAACCACTTCTAATTCCAAGTCCTCAATTATATGTGGGGGTAACGGGGATGAAGAAGCCCTCCGGCCCCCAGTGGCTTTCTTCAGTTGTGAATTGTGGAACACAGAATGGATGCTTGCAGACTCTGGCAACTGGAGTTTATATGCCGCTTTCCCCACACGTTTGGTGATTTGAGAGGGACCATAAAAACGTGCTGCAAGCTTTTGAAAGGGGCGGTTGGCCAAAGATTTCTGATTGTAAGGTTGAAGTTTCAAACATACCCAGTCTTCTATGTCAAAATAGAGATCTCGTCTCGATTTGTCAACTGCCTCCTTCATCTGTTGTGGAGCTCAAAGGAGATATGATTGTAATTCATCTATTATTGCATCACGGTCCAATAGTTGTTCCTTCAACGTAGACACCCCTATGCTACTTGGTTGCATTCGACACAACCGAGGAGGATATCGACCATAGAGGGCTTTGAAAGTGTACACTTCGAGGCAGTATCATACGAAGTGGTATGCCAAAACTCCTCCCATGGCAACCATTGAACCCAACTGCAAGGACTGCCTTGTATAAAACAACGAAGGTACGTTTCTACCGATTTGTTGACAATTTCCTATTGACCGTCGGTTTGTGAATGGTATGCAGTGCTACGCATTAGTGTGGTACCTTGCGGACGGATCAACTCCCGCCAAAAGTTGTTCATGAAGACCCTATCTCGATCTGAAATAATGGTGGATGGGAACCCGTGAAGACGAACCACCTCTTTAATAAAGAGCACTGCCACAATTGTTGCATTAAAGGGATGTTTCAAGGCTATAAAATGGGCGTATTATGTTAGACGATCGACTACCACTAGCACCATGTCGTAAGCCTTGGAACGAGGTAAGCTCTCGATGAAATCCATGGTTATAGGAGGCCAACCCGGTATGTTGTAGCAGCTTTCTGTTGTTGACACTACAAACATGCTTGAACATACCGCTCGACGCATCCCTAGGCAGAACCATTTTGCAGCCATGCATTGATAGGTCCTAAATTCCTCCGAGTGTCGTCCAATCTTCGAAGTCTTAAACAACTTAGGAATATATGACGAGTTATGAGGAATTACTAACCGTCCCTTAAAAACAATTGCCTTTGCTTCACTGTGTAACCTGCATGGTTCTTTCCTTCAATTTCAATATTATGGGTAACCTTTCTAATGAAAGGGTTTGCCTCTATTTCCTTCTCCAATTCCTCCATATGCATGGGCCATGATGAGATCATGGTGTACATTTCCTTTTCAGACATGAGTTACCTCGATAGGGTATCGGTCATTCGATTTGACGAACCTGGTTTATATTGAATTTCAAAATCAAATCCCATCACCTTTCTTACTCACTTCTGGTAGTCCGATCTCACCTCTCGTTGCTCCATGAGGAATTTAAGACTCCTCTGATCTATGCGAATCATAAAATGTCATCCAAGGAGGTAGTTACGCCACTTTAATACCGCAAGGACGATGGCCATTAACTCTCTCATATATGGGTTCCATACGGTTTCACACCCCGAATACTTGACAAAAACTGGCGATAGGATGATTGTTTTGGAGCAACATTGTACCGATGCCAAATCTCAATGTGTTGGCCTCCACAACAAATGTTTGGGTGAAATTTGGATTACGAGAACTGAGGCCTGAATCAAAGCTGTTTTCAGCTTCTGAAATGACTGTAGCTGCTTCTGACCACCCAAAATAGTCTCTTTTGATTTGATTCGTGAAGGGAGAGGCCAACTGGGCATATCCTGCGATCAATTTTTGGTAATATCCGGTTAACCCTAAGAATCCTCTCAGATCATATAAGGTCTTCGGTTGAGGTCACTCCACCATGGACTTAATCTTGTTCTGGTCCACTGCTACCCCAGCCGCTGATATCACATGATCGAGGTAGCCCATCTTTTGCTTGTCAACTTTGCACTTCTTGGGATTAGCATAAAATTTATGTTTGGTCAATTGCTTCAAGACGGTTGCTACATGCTCCACATGTTGTTCGCTTTGGCTGTACACCAAAATACCATCAAAGAATATGAGTAATTTTTTGTAGATAGGGCTTGAATGTACAGTTCATCACCGATCGATAAGTGGCTGGGCCGTTGGTGAGGCCGAATGGCATGGCTAGGAATTCATAGGGACCCTCATGGGTACCGAAAGCGGTCTTAGTCACATCTTCATCTTTGATACGAACCTGGTGATATTCCGACTTCAAGTCAAGTTTGGAGAACACATGTGGCCCGTGTAGTTCATCAAGCTATTCATTGGTGACGGGTATGCGGTACTTATCTGGGATAGTAGCCTTGTTCAACGCTCGATAATCAACACAACCTCCACGATCCGTCCTTTTTCTCGACTAAAATAACGGGGCTGGAGAACGGTCCAATCGACTGTTGTATAATTCCAGCATGTAGCATCTTCTGGACTAGGATCTTGATCTCGGCTTTTTGAGCATCTGGATAATGATAGGGCTGCTCCGACACTGGTCCCACCCCCTCCTTCAAGTTAATGGGATCCTCCTTACCCTGTGTTGGAGCCTGGAGGAAGTACCTAATGGAAACTAAATAATTCCCAAAATTACCCTTACCATAGACAGCTAACAAAATAGAAATGCCATCCTTTCTTATTCTTTTGTGGACCGTTTTTAATTTGGTTGATTTGACCTCCCTTCCAACTATACGTGTATCGAGCCGGTGGTCGTATAACATATATATTTTTGTATAGGCCCAGCTGCTTGTTTACGTTTGGCTAGGCTTGATCTCGGGTTGGGATAATCACTATCAGACAAGTCGTCTCCTTGGGTTCTTCCATGAGCTTGGTTTTACACGGCTTTTAACGAGTTGACTCATTTTAGACAATCTTCACCCTAGATCCTACAACCAAATGTGTTAGTTGTAGGTTTTGTACATTCTTTTTTTAATTAAGTACAGAACTCTCTTTTGATACTGCTTATAACTTAATAATGCCTGATTCACTTTATTATGCTTGATAAGAGTAATGAGGAAAGGTCATGCACACAATTTATTGAAGAAAATAGAGCAAATTGCCTGAAAATGCAACGTATTATAATCTGTTTGCCTTTTTTGTGAAACATACTCTCAAAACTTTCATTTTAGTTTCTTAGATTGATATCTCAAACATTTAGTCCAAACTACGTTACACAAAATAGGAATGGGAGCAAAGAACATTGCATTCTCATATATGAACTAGGTACCTAAATGTTTTGAGATGTCACATCTGACGTACCAAAATGAAGTTTTTGGAAGTACGTTACGCAAAATAGGAATTAGACCAAAGTACGTTGCATTTTCATGCAGTTTGCGCAAGAAAATACATAGTTCCCATGCGATAAGTTGTCAATTATATATAGCATCTGAATTCTAAAACTCTAGAAAATCTTAACTACTTGGTGACCGATTACGGTTTGATACAGGATCTGTGAAAGATTCGGTTGTGGGTGAAGAACGTATTGCTCAGTATTTGCTTGCTGTTCTGAATACACGACGAACTCCCTTCCATTGGAGGAATGTGCATGATAACAATTCAAAAAGCCCGCAAAACGGAACTGACGATAAGCACGACTATAATCTTAAGGATCTTCTGCCTAAAAGACGAATTCTACCTGTTGCATCTAACGTGCATTACGTGGAGGTAACATCTGCGATATGTTTATACATTTTTACTAACCTTTGACTATTAATTTTTGACCTGCCGATATTATTCGCAATAAGAAAAAGTTGCATCTTGGCTTTTTAGATTAAGCATAATACTTTTGAATCTTAGTTACGGATTATGATCTTGTTACAATTTGATTACTTACCATTTAGCAACTCATCGTGCTTACTTGTATCTTATCTAGAGATGCACAAGGCTCCGGCTTTTTCCGGTCACGGGCTTTGGGGTTGAAAGAGGGACCCGATTGGGTCTTCCAGGCACTGGTATTTTTGGGGATCTTCTGTACTGGGTTTTTACTGCCCTTGAAAAAAGTTGGCCTAATGGGGCTCTAAGGTCGGGCCTAGGCCTAGGATAAGTTGGCTTTTCAAGCTTGGGTTTTTTTGTGCATCTCTAATCTTATCTATGCATTTAGCTGTGGACCTTTTACTGCTTGTCAACCTCTGTATTTCCTGTTTCTATTGTGTGTCAACCTTAGAGCATCCACAATGTGGTTTTTGGGAGATTTTCACTCGAGGTGAGGTTTTTCATGAGGTTTTTGGTCAGAGGTCCTAACTGCACGACCTGCTAGAGATTTTTCGTATTTAATCAGTTTTAACTTTACAGAATTTTATAAAAGTTTCGTAACTGCACGACACAGTTAGTTGTAGTTATCCCTCCTACTTTATTAATTTGTTTTACAAACCGGGGGTATTTACAAAATGACCTCTCTATCTTGTGTGGCAAAGGTATGGTCTACATACATCCTACCATGCCAGATCTTTTATCAGTGTGGGATATACTGAGATCGTTTGGTTTCATTCACATACGATAAAAAGTAGTCTTTTTGACCGCATAAAGTAAAACAGCCGGGAGTGAGTGTGTGTGTGATTTATGTTGGTTGAAATTTGATGCAGGGTGTTGCGAAAGAGGTACAATGTGCACTATATTCGAGTCTATCGGAATTCAAAGGCGATTTAGAAGATGAGAATGAGTTGGAGATATTGATAGAACAACAGTTTGAAGAATTGCAGAAGGCATTGAAGATATCGAATAAAGCAACAGAAGCTCGTATGATGGTATCGAAGAAGTTTTTAACATTGTTTAGGGCTGGGAAGCTTGGCCCTTTTATCCTTGATGATGTGCCTCTTTAATGTTATCTTATCGTCCCCTTTTGTTTTCTTTAGGCCATCAATTCTATTTAGGTATTTTCATACTTCATTACTAGTGTATATATGTGTGGGCTAAAATTGATTAGGAATCCAAGAACGAAACATGGCATATTCATTGGTAATATTGATGTGTTATTCATCATGAATGTTGTAATATATTCATGATGAATGTGTGGTTTATGATGAATAAGGGGCTGTTTGGCAGTTGCTGAATGATTTAGTTCAGAATAGTTAAGAGGTTAGAATGGCTAAGAGGATCAGAATGGTTAAGTGCTGAATGAAACAAGGTTGTTTGGTAATTGTTCTTTGAATGATAGCAAATTACCATTTTAACCCTAGTTATGATTTAGTACTGAATAAACCAACATACAATTACCAAAGATGATGTTTATTCATATCAGTATCAAATCCTCAAGAAATTGCAAAATGTCGATAATCCAATCATTATTAACATTGTTACAAACATGAAATAAGCAATAAACACCATYAATTTCTAAAGAAAAATGATAAATTCCCTAAACCAAACCCTAGATTTATGCAAGATCAACGACCTGCTGGAAGAGGCGGAGAGGCGGCGAGCGACCAGGCGGCAAGGCGGCGAGCCGACGAGCGACGAGGCGGCGAGCGACGAGCGACGAGGCGGCAAGGCGACGAGTGACGAGGGGGGAGGGAAGACCGGCGATGTGTGCTGTTGGTGGTTATGTGTGAGCGACGAGAAGACGGTGATGGAGGGGGGAAGAAGGAGATGGGGGGAGAAGACGGTTCATGATGTTTCAAGAAGGAGATGGGGGGAGAAGACGAGAAGACGGTGATGATTTGGGAAAGGAGGGCATAGTTGGAAAAATGAACCTCTTAATGGTTTAGTGAGGTATAGGATGCTAAATGATTAAGAGCCAATTGTCACCATTAAGAGGTTCTATTTTTTTTGCCAAACAGCCTCTGCCTCTTAGCGATTAAGAGGCTGCCTTTTAATGTCACCATTAAGAGGCAAACAAACAGCCCCTAACATATTCATATTCATCATGAATATTCATTCTGAAGAGGAACACGTGGTTGTTGTGGGTGGTTCCTGGGTTTCTAATCGATTGTTGGGTTCTTAACGAAACTTCCTTCTGTGTGTGTGTATCGGTTTGGGTTTACATGAGACTAGTCTGTTTTCGTGAGACTACAAATTTACATTGAAGTTTCACAATAAAATATTGTTAAGGTATAAAAATACAGTGAACCTTCACAATCAGTGTTTTGTTGTGAAGGTTTAGTGTTATTTATGTGGTCTCACGAAAACTGCGTGCTCTCACATGATTCCAAGTGTCTCTCTCTATAAGGTAGATTTGAATGAGAATTGTAAATATTTTGAGAATTGGGAAAGTAGTTATTTTCATGTATCATTCATTATGAATGACCCATGATAACGAAATTTATTCATAATAAATGTCGTGAAAGATATTTATCACGAAAATTATCAATGTATGGCATAATGAGAAAAATTTGCAAACCTCATTTGAGAACACCCATCTCACATGTGATTTTAGAAGAAAATCATATGTAATTAAAGAACAGATAAACCTTAGAAACTGTCTGGCCATGTACCTCTAGGTTCATCGTTTCTTAATCATATGTACGTGTGTATATATACACACATACATGTATATGTGTATTACATATCTAGTCTAAGCAAGGAGACAAGTTAATTTAATAGAAGGGTCATTTAATTTGGAGCATGACATGTTAATGTAACTCGATAAACCTTTAATTGACATGTTTCTTGTATAAACAAGCTTGCAACTCGTTCGATGAAATGACTTATGATGACAGCTCCGAGAAAGGTTGATGGACCGGACCATATACGTCGTAATACTTGATGTCACAATGAATTTACTATTTTATCCTTTATATTATAATGAACACTTAAAGGCAATCATATAGTAGAAATGAGCACGAAGTTGCTTATATAGTTTATACTATAATCAAAGCATATGCTAGTTATTTTAATGATGCAAATACGAAATTTTGAAATGTTAACTCACATGCATTTCATATCGGAAATTTTGAAAAAAACGATATGTACTAAAGAAAACGGTGATTCTTATACTCAAAAGATATATGTGGTCATGTAAGGGACTAGTAGTGGGCTTGATGGATCGGACAAGATAAAAGACCGTCCGTAAAATCATCAATTCGAAACAACCTTGATAGCTAATCCTTTTTGGACAAGATCTTTTTGGGTCATACCAGATAAAGACGGATTTTTTTGGGACCAGATAAAAAATTTTTAAAAAAAAAAAGTCAAAGAAGCGAGTACTCCTACAAAGAAGATGAAGGATGGGTTAAAAAGGTAGTCAAATTTTGGATCATGAACATAGAGTGGGATAGCCAAGAGAGAGCCATGGAAACCCACATCCCTCGGAAAAAAGCATGGGGCATTTTTCTATGATGGGGTTTGGTTCACAAATTTTCAAAAGAAATTTGATAAAATTAGAATGTTGAATTTATTTGACCAAACTTCATTTCCTTATTTGGTTCATTCTTTTAGGAAAAGAAATCTTCAAAACCATCAAATTCCAAAAGTTAAGGATTTAAACATTACTTGACATATAGGTGGTAATTTGACGAAATGAAATATTATATTTTCATCATTCCAAATATGCCCTTGATCCAAATAATACCCTAATCTCACTAAAAAACAGTGGATTTCTCTATTGCAATACCAACTCACCACATGTTCGATTTCTTTATTTTTTATTCAATTTCAGCTCGTTTTTCTACATGTTTCTCGATTGCTACTTGAAAACTACAAATAAATTACGGTTTTTGCTCGAAAACAACACATGAATTTGATTTCTACTCGATTTTTGGTCAAAGACAGCAGATGGATTTGATTTCTACTCAAAAACAAATATAGATTCGATTTCTCAAGAAGTATTCACTCTTATTTTATTAGTTAGTATCTTGAATGCTCAATTAATAACATGCTTGATCAATTTTATTAATAAAGAAGTCAATTTAAAAGAGAGATGTTTGTTTAGTATTTTTAAAAGAGTGTGCAAACGTACCCTAAGATCGACAAAATAATTTGCAATCTATTTGATTCATGAAACATGGAAATGTCAAAATTACACTTTTGAATAGCATTGACATAAATAAATCGCAGTCAACGTTCTAAAAGGAAAAGAAGAGGTGACAATGCATGTCTGTGAAGTCTCGTTAATCTCCTCTCTTTTTCTTGTTCTTGCATTTTTCTTCCTTTAGAAACAGATAATTAACTAGAATAACACAACAACAAATTTGATAATTTCTGACAATTATTAAATCAAAACCACAACAAAAATATTCGAATCACACAAGCAAAGTCAAACTTTCAAATTTTTATACAAACCGAAAATTATCTTAATCTAAGAGATTATACCAAAATATACAGATACTGAAATACATGTTACATGTTAAAAATAAGTTTTAAAATATAGAAAAACAATCAAAATTTAACAAAAAGGTGATTTAACCATAAAAATATCAAAAATAGTCACTCAACTCTTGGTAATATAAGGTACTTGAAAATTTGCGATTTGGTTTTTGTGGGACAAACCAAATACCCAACAATACCCCAAATTTTTTATTCAAACTCCAACAAATGAATTATACCCCACATTTGAATAAAAAATAAGTTATTTCAAGGGTCTTATTGTTCTATATCAGAAAATCAAATATGACATGCATCGGAAAAGGTGTCTAGGTGACTTGAACCTTACGTAGTGAATACTCATCGGACCTACTTTGTGGGTAGTGACGAGAAGTCTTGAACTAACCACGTTTTGTAGTAAGTCTAGACAATGAATATCACACATATCATGTTAATGCATAAATTTATTCTTACCATTGTGTTCATTTCGGTCATGAACAAATCCTTCTTCATGAGACTTTTAGAAAATATAGCTATATAGTCCTCAAAGATGCGATCCCACATCAATCTCATAGGTAATACTGATCAAGAACATTCCATAGTGTTCCTCTATGAAGCTATCAATATTATTAAAAATAAGAATTCATCCCTAAATCATCAATAGAAAATACACAAAATAAAACAACATAGGAATAGGTATACTTGTGTACTGAAGCTCGAGTCTTCCTTAACTAGTTGTCTTATTAAACCTAGACCATGAGATCTCCAATGTTGCTAGGTTAGGTTTCCGTTGAGTGGTGACTCATTGAGTTGGCTTTAAGCCCATCCCCCTCGATGTATAGGAGACTTGTTCTCTATTAAGGCCTTGGTCAAAGGATCAACGATATTTTCCTTTGACTTCACGTAGTCGATGGAGATAATTCCATTCTTGAACAAGTCTTGTATGGTTTTGTGGCGACGCCTGATATCTCGATTTGCCATTATAGATTTGATTCTTTGCTCTTGTTAGAGCCGCCATACTATCACAATGTATGCTAACGGCAGTAACAGGCTTAGGCCGCAAAGGAATACCCTCTAGGAAGCTTTTGAGCCATTCAGCCTCTTCAACCGCTTTATCGAAGGCTACAAATTCGGCTTCCATAGTGGACCGTATATTCACAGTTTGCTTAGAAAATTTTCAGGATATGGCTGCACCACTAAGTGTAAATACATATCCACTTGTGGATTTTCTTTCAGAATGGTTGGAAATCCAATTTGCATCACAATATCCTTCTAGTACGGGAGGATACTTGGTGTAATGTAACCCATAATTTATTATGTACTTGAGATATCAAAGCACTCTTATTAGTGCGTACTAATGATCTTTGCCTAGGTTATGTGAGTATCGACTAAGTCTACTCACGGTATATGCTAGATCCGGTCGAGTACAATTCATGATGTACATCAAGCTCCCTAGTACTTGAGTGTATTCTAGTTAAGATACACTATCTCCTTGATTCTTCTTAAGTTGGCTAGAATGATCAAATGGAGTTACTACCGGTCTATCATCATAGTGACCAAATTTCTTAAGTACTTTCTCAACATAGTGTGATTGAGTAAGTATGTAACCATTAGGATCTCTTAGGATGTTTATTCCAAAAATCACATCTGCTACTCCCAAATCTTTCATGTCAAACAAGAAGTTTAGCATTTTCTTGGTTTGATTGATTACATCAAGGTTGATCCCCATAATTAGCATATCATCCACATATAGACATATTATGACATATGCGTTCTTG